GGCAATGCTCTTGGTAACTGCCAGTTTGTAGTTGACACTTGCTTTTAAGCAAGAAATTGATTCTGCCCAGTTTTTTGTGACTAAGGCAGAATAGGATGAGAAATACACAAGGTTAAATGCATTTTTCTCTCTTTTAAAATATTTCTCCTGAATATAAAATGTATATTCCTTTAGATGAAAAAATAGTCCAAAAATTTGAGACTTCTAAAATGAACACAAAATAAAAGATGATGACAAAGAGATAATGGTGATGATATTAACAAATTGAGCCATATTCTGTTATTACTCATTTTGTGAACGGAAGACTGAAACCAAGCAAGACCCTGTGAGGCTCCTTCTGAATCCCCCTCCCTGAGTTCCAAGGGGCAGGTTCAAACAGTTGCTAATCTGGGAAGTGAGGGGATGCTGAGACAAGGGAGGAGCAGTCAATAAACGATAAGACAGCCTTGGGGGCAGGGTCCTGGTTTCCCCTTAAGGGATATACATAACATTATCTTTGAGCTCTTCTGTAGAACTAAAATGAAAGTGAAGTGAAGTAGCTCAGTTGTATCTGACTCTTTGTGACCCCTTGGACTGTGGCCTGCAAGGCTCCTCTGCCCATGGGATTCTCCAGGCAAGAATACTGGAGTGGGTTGCCATTTCCTTCTCCAGGGGATCTTCCCAATGCAGAGATCAAACCTGGGTCTCCCGCATTGCAGGCAGACGCTTTAACCTCTGAGCCACCAAACCCCCAGCAAATGTTGCACCTGGTGAAGCACTCTTCAATTTAGAGAAGGTCACAGTTTGTCCATCATCACCTGATGCCGGATGATCTCTGGACTGAAAGAATGTGGGCCCTGAATACACCCTGATCCTTATCAGCAACCCTTACATCCTCCTCCCCACTTCTTCCCCCAACCTCCCTCTCCAGGGGTGAGACACAGTTTTGAGGGCTCTAGCCCCCTGTGGCCTCCTTTGCCTGGTAAAGCAATAAAACTATTCTTTTCTACTTTCTACTTCATACAAGACTTGTTCTCTGAGATCTAATTTGGTATTGGGGTACAGAGGCTGGATTATGCATCAGTTCAGTCCACTCCCTCAGTGGTGTCTGACTCTTTGCGACCCTATGAGCCACAGCACGCCAGGCCTCCCTGTCCATCACCAACTCTTGGAGTCCACCAAAACCCATGTCCATTGAGCCGGTGATGCCATCTGTGATGGACCGATGGATTTGGAGTGACGGACATTAAAGCCCCCTCGGACTGTCACAGCTCTCGGGTCTTGGACAGACCATGTTATAGCTCTTAGACAAATCAGTGTTACAGCTCAGTGTTACAACCCCACTTTATTTAGAAGATAGCAGGAAAATCATCTTCGAGGCTTGAGGGCACGTCAATCCAAAGATGTGAAGAGCGCCCCATCCCACGGGGGAGAGAGAGAGAGAAAGAAGGAAAGAGCGAGCAAGTGCACGCATGTGTGGGGGAGAGAGAGAGAGAGAAGAAGAGAGAGAGAGAAGAAAAGAGAGAGAGAGAGAACACTTAGGCTCCTCTTTTTATATGTTTTTTTCTCCCCCCCTGGGCCTGCCCTATGCAAATTGGGCTTAGTCAGGAGTGTTGTTCTACCTGAAGTCCTCACTCTGGTCCTCGGACCTTCCTTTGACCTTCCTCTGTTCTATTTTCGTGGGCTTTTCCCTTGCTTGTCTTTTAGCCACCGCCATCTTGTACCTTTTCCCCCTAACTACCTAACACATCCAACCATCTCATCCTCTGTCGTCCCCTTCTCCTCCTGCCCTCAATCATTCCCAGCATCAGGGTCTTTTCCAATGAGTCAGCTCTTTGCATCATGTGGCCAAAGTATTGGAGTTTCAGCTTCAACATTAGTCCTTCCAATGAACACCCAGGACTGATCTCCTTTAGGATGCACTGGTTGGATCTCCTTGCAGTCCAAGGGACTCTCAAGAGTCTTCTCCAATACCACAGTTCAAAAGCATCAATTCTTCGGCGCTCAGCTTTTTTAATAGTCCAACTCTCACATCCATACGCGACTACTGGAAAAACCATAGCTTTGACTAGATGGACCTATGTCGGCAAAGTAATGTCTCTGCTTTTTAATATGCTGTCTAGGTTTGTCATAGCTTTTCTTCCAAGGAGCAAGCATCTTTTAATTTCATGGCTGCAGTCACCATCCACAGTGATTTTGAAGCCCAAGAAAATAAAGTCTGTCACTGTTTCCATTATTTCCCCCATCTATTTCCCATGAAGTAATGGGACCAAATGCCATGATCTTAGTTTTCTGAATGTTGAGTTTTAAGCCAGCTTTTTCACTCTCCTCTTTCACTTAGGTTTTTGAATGTGGAGTTTTAGGCCAACTTTTTCACTCTCCTCTTTCACTTTCATCAAGAGGGTCTTTGGTTTCTCTTTGCTTTATGCCATAAGGGTGGTGTGATTTGCATATCTGAGGTTATTGGTATTTCTCCCAGTAGTCTTGATTCCAGCTTGTGCAAATAGACCTTGTTGACAAAGGTCTGTCTTGTCAAAGCTATGGTTTTTCAAGTATTCATGTATGGATGTGAGAATTGCACCATAAAGAAAGCTGAGTATCGAAGAATTGATGCTTTTGAACTATGGTATTGGAGAAAATTCTTGAGAGTCCTTTGGCCTGCAAAGAGATACAACCAGTCAGTCCTAAAGGAAATCAGTCCTGAATATTCGTTGGAAGGTTGATGCTGAAACTGGAGCTCCAATACTTTGTCCACCTGATGGGAAGAGCTAACTCATTAGAAAAGACTCTGTTGCTGGGAAAGATTGAGGGCAGGAGAAGGGGATGACAGAGGATGGTGGCATCACCGACTCAGTGGCATCACCGGCTGAATGGACATGAGTTTGAGCAAGCTCCAGGAGTTGGTGATGGACAGGGAAGCCCTGTGTACTGCAGTCCATGGGGTCACAAAGAGTTGGATATGACAGAGCAACTGAAAAGACTGACTGACTGGATGACCTAGTGGTTTTCCCTAATGTCTTCAATTTAAGTCTCCATTTCACAATAAACAGTTCATGATCTGATCCACAGTCAGCTCATGGTCTTATTTTTTCAGATTGACAGAGCTTCTTCATCTTCAGATGCAAAGAATATAGTCAATCTGATGGCGGTATTGACCATCTGGTAATGTCCATGTGTAGAGTTGTCTCTTGCATTGTTGGAAGAGGGTGTTTGCTATGACCAGTGTGTTCTATTGGCAAAACTCTGTTAGCCTTTGCTCTGCTTCATTTTGTACTCCAAGGCCAAACTTGTCTGTCACTCCAGGTAGCTTTTGACTTCCTACTTTTGCATTCCAGTATGCTATGATGAAAAGAACACCTTTTTTTCTTGGTGTTAGTTCCGGAAGGTCTTGTAGATCTTCATAGAACTGTTCAGCTTCAGCTTCTTTGGCATTAGTGGTTGGGGCATAGACTTGCATCATGGTGATATTGAATGGTTTGCCTTGGAAACAAATCAAGATTATCCTGTCATTTTTGAGATTGCACCCAAGTTCTGCATTTTGAATTCTTTTGTTGACTATGAGGTCTACTCCATTTCTTCTAAGTGATTTTTGCCCACAGTAGTAGATATGATGGTCATCTGAATTAAGTTCTCCCATTCCTGTCCATTTTAGTTCACTAATGTTGGTGTTCACTCTTGCCATCTCCTGTTTGACCACTTCCAATTTACCTTGATTCATGGACCTAAGACTCCAGGTTTCTATGCAATATTATTCTTTACAGCATCAGACTTTACTTTTACCACCAGACACATTCACAACTGGGCATTGTTTCTCCTTTGGCTTAGCCACTTCATTCTTTCTTTATCCACTTTTCTCCAGTAAGTGTATTGGGCACCTACCAACCTGGGGAGTTTATTTTTCAGTGTCATATCTTTTTGCCTTTTCATATTGTTCAATGGGGTTCTCAAGGCAGGGATACTCAAGTGTTTTGCCATTCCCTTCTCCAGGGGACCACATTTTGTCAGAACTCTCCACCATTACCCATCCATCGTGGGTGGTCCTACACGGCATGTCTCATAGTTTCACTGAGGTAGACATGGTCATGTCTACTAGTGACTAGATTTGTCTTATTGGTGTTCCTCTGATTTTTCTGTAAAACGTGCTTGTATGACATTTCAGCGGATCACAAAGGGGCCAAAAATGGCTAAGTAAGAAAAAGTGGGACTTCCCTGATGGTCCAGTGGTTGAGAGTCTGCTTTCCAGTGCTGGGCTCTTGCGTTTGGTCCCTAGTCTGAGGACTAAGATCCCACATGCCTTGGGGCAACTAGAGAACCTGTGTGCCATGCCTAGAGAAACCCCTGCATTGCAACTACAGAGCCCTCACAATCTAGAGCCCATGCTCTGTAAGAAGAGAAGCCAGTGAGCCACAAGTAGAGAAAGCTGCATGCCACAATGAAGACCCAATTCAGCCAAAAGTCAGAAAAGAAAAAAAAATTGAAGAGTTCGCAGAAGTGTGGTATGAGCTTCCATGTTAGGCTGTGTACTGGGAAAAAAAAATAAGCTTGTGAAAAATACCAAATGCTCTTTAGATTTACAAAGGACTATTTTGAAAGCTGGGCTTCTCTGGTGGCTCAGTGATAAAGAATCAGCCTGAAAATGCAAGAGATGCAGGTTTGATCGCTGGGTTGGGAAGATCCCCTGGAAAAGGCAATGGCAACCCACTCCAGTGTTCTTGCCTGGGAAATCCCATAGACAGAGGAGCCTGAAGGGCTTCAGTCCATGGGGTCACAAAAGAGTTGTACATGAGTTAGCAATTAAACGACAACAACAACAACAGCATATTGAAAGCTAACAGGCGTCATAAAAATAAAGCAGAAATGAAGATGTGTGACTGACTTTTGACAGAACAGGTTAGCATTCCTCTGAGTATAGCATTTTGCCCACAAGGGGGTGCATCTTCCTAAAACATACATGTTTCCTGCTGAAATTCTGACCTCACCGTCATCTGTTCACTGTGACCTTAACTTTTTTTCACACTAAGCAATCAAGACTCAAAGACAACAGGCTCACTCTAAGGATGAACTCTCCTCCAGGATCAGTGATTGTGCTATTCTTAATGTTTGGTAAGTAAAATGGTACCTAGAGCTTAGAATCTTTTGTTTCGTTATGGTGGTATAATCCTTAACTGCAATTTTCACTAGGGGGTAGAGCCCTGTATTATGCAAGGTAACCAGAACTAGTTTTTCCCCCCCAGGAGGAAGCAATGGAGACTCGGTGACTCAGCCAAAAGGCCAAGTGACCCTCTTAGAGGAGGAGTCTCTGACTGTGAACTGCTCCTATGAAACCAAACAGTACCCTGCCCTTTCCTGGTATGTCCAGTATTCTGGAGAAGGTCCAAAGTTCCTTCTGAGAGCCCACAGGGACAACGAGAAGGGAAGCAGCAAAGGTTTTGAAGCCACATACAATACAGAAACCACCACCTTCCACTTGGAGAAAGCCTCAGTCCAAGAGTCAGACTCGGCTGTGTACTACTGTGCTCTGAATGACACAGTGACGGAAACTACAGGTGGAGCTGAGCACAAACTCTGAGCGGCAGCGGGGCCTGGATGCTGAGTGTCTGATCTTATGATCCACTTTGGTTTAGGAGCCAGGAGGTAGGCTACTGTGTTGTCACCCAATATCTACCCCCGGACTCTCGCTGGTGTGAAAGTGAAGTGAAGTCGCTCAGTCGTGTCCAACTCTTTGCGACCCCATGGACTGTAGCCTACCAGGCTTCTCCATCCATTGGATTTTCCAGGCAAGAATACTGGAGTGGGTTGCCATTTCCTTCTTGCTGGTGTGAGAGTCCCCCAAATCAACTCTAAGAAGACAGCAGAAAAATAAGTAAACATGCCTCACACAAGATGCCTTAATGATGAGAGTCTGTCACCATAGTTCCTTAATCAGGGATGAAATTTGTAATTTTACAAGTATAAGATCTCCAATGAATGAAATGGTCTATATGTTAACCTTGCATAAAGTTCTAACCCCCTGACTGTGCCCCAGATCATCTAGGGAAATATTGTATTTAAAGATACACCTGCAATAGACGAGATTGCAAATACTCAATGGCTCTCTGGTATCTAGGGAAAGAAGAGGTGATTTCTAGAGAAACTTCATCCCAAGAAACGTTAGCCTATTAAAGAAAGGAAGAAATTTAAGAAAGAAAGGGAGAGGAGGGAGTCCTATGTATGACCACACACATGGCAAGTAAAGACAGAATGTTTCTTACAGCTTATTTTGGGGGGAGTTACATGTTAGACATAAACTGATGTTCTCCATACATATTAAAGCAGAACTGTTACATTCACTGTAATTAGAATAGTGCCTGCATCATAGTAAAATCTCTTCATATATTTGTTAAATTAATGAATGGGTTGGAAAACCCATTACTGCTACCACAAAAAGGCTACCATTTTTTCATTAAGAAAATGTATTCAATAAAGGCTTATTTGTGCCTACTCAGTATCAGATCATAATCTAAGAGACAGTACAGAGAACATACAAAATTTGCTGCCCTGTTAGAGCTTATATGCTGATAGAGGTCTTACTTTTTGCTACACACACTGTTTCTAAGTCTTTACTGTGCACCAAATCATTTAATTCTCTCAAACGCTGGTATTATATTTCCATGGCGGTCTCATAAATGAGGATACTGAGGCACAAAGAGAATAAGTTGCTTATCCACAACCACATAGGTAGTTAGTTGCAGAAGTGTGTCCCTCAGTCCTGTCTGACTCTTTGCGACCCCATGGACTGTAGCCTGCCAGGTTTCTTTGTCCCTGGAATTCTCCAGGCAAGAATATTGGAGTGGGTTGCCATTTCCTTCTCCAGGGGATCTTCCCCACCCAGGGATCAAACCATGTTCTGAGCCACTAGGGAAACCAAGTTAATAGCAGAACCAGGACTCAAATGCAGTTTCTTGAAACACCTGTCTTAGGTATTAATGTAGATTAATGTTGTAGGTACTTGTGTAGATGTATATATGTCACATTGCCAGTAGCAAAGAGGGGACTGGACATTAATTTAAACAGAAGTTTTGAGCAGTGATAGATCTGACTTTAAGATGATCTTGTTGGCTTTTGTCCCCACTGTCCCCCACCTTAAGATAGTGGAGAGTCTCAAGGACAATAATATAAAAAGTGTCAAAATATATTTTCCTTAGGAGTTGGATATTGGAATAGGAAGAAGAGTTATTTTTTAGGTCATCTTGGATTTTGTTGGGAATGGTAGAAGGGATACAAATTGATCAGCACAAGAACTGGATATATTAGGTATGACATTTGCCTTTTATTTATTTGTGATTTGAGGTACAATAAACTGCACATATTTAAAGCCTATGATTTGATCAGTCTTAACATATGTACATACCTGTGACACTATCATCACAATCAAGGTACTGAATCTTTCCACCATCCCCCAAAGGTTCTTTTGCCCTATGCTGTCCATCCCTCCCTTCATCATGGACCCCAGAAAGTCAGCTGCTTGTTGTTACAGATTGCTTTGCATGGACTTAAATATACTGCTTTATCATTGATTTTCTGTTTGATCCATCTTTTTTGTTGTTTTTCTCTCCCCTTTTTTCTTGATTTTTTTGGTTACTTTAATACTTTTTAATACTTTTCCTAGTGATTACAACATACATGCCTATTACTCAGAGTCTAGTTAAAGTTACTGTTGTTGTTGCTTAGTCACTAAGTCATGTTCAACTCTTTTGCGATCCTATGGACTGTAGCCTGCCAAGTTTCTCTGTCCATGAGATTTCCCAGGCAGGAACACTGGAGTGGGTTGCTAGTTCCTTCTCCAGGGGATCTCCCTGACCCAGGGATCGAAACTGCATCTCCTGCACTGCAGACGAAGTCTTCACTACTGAGCCACCTGGGAAGCCCAGTTAGAGTTAATATTGTTCGGTTTCATGGAAAATGTTGAAATCTTGTACAATATGTCTCTTTATCCATCAGTACTGAGGGTTTTTTTTATAATTGTCCATATATATTACATTTACAGACACTGAAAACGTTACTGCAGAATGTTATAACTTTTGCTTTAAATAGTTGTATGCGTTTTAAGGTTTAATGAAAGAATAAGTAAGAGGTCTTATATTTATCAGCTGTTTACCTTTTCTAGTATTCTTCCTTCATTCCTGAAAATGCAGTTTCCTCTGATACCATGGAGTTTTCCTCTGATAATGTGTCTGACATGATGTATTTCCCTTCAATCTTGAAAAATTTTAAAGCATTTCTTCTAGGCTAGGTCTGCTAACAACTATATTTTTCAGTTGTCCTTCAACTTACAATCTTTTTTTTTCTAAAATTTAATAACTATGAACTTTCCATCAGTTCACAAGAGCATGATAAAGCATATGGCAACTGGAAGGCTAGGTCTTTTCAGTACCTAAAGCAGAGCTGTTTTGTTTGTTTTGTTTTGTTTTAACAATTCAAAGTATTTTATTTTATTTTAGCATGTCTGATCATAGTTTATTTATTTTATTTATTTATTTATTTTCCATTTATTTTTATTAATTGGAGGCTAATTACTTTACAACATTGCAGTGGTTTTTGTCATACATTGAAATGAATTAGCCATGGATTTACATGTATTCCCCATCCTGGTTCCTCCTCCCACCTCCCTCTCCACCCGATCCCTCTGGGTCTTGCCAGTGCACCAGGCCCGAGCACTTGTCTCATGCATCCAACCTGGGCTGGTGATCTGTTTCACCCTAGATAATATACATGTTTCGATGCTGTTCTCTTGAAACATCCCACCCTCGCCTTCTCCCACAGAGTCCACAAGTCTGTTCTATACATCTGAGTCTCTTTTTCTGTTTTGCATATAGGGTTATCTTACCATCTTTCTAAATTCCATATATATGTGTTAGTATACTGTAATGGTCTTTATCTTTCTGGCTTACTTCACTCTGTGTAATGGGCTCCAGTTTCATCCATCTCATTAGAACTGATTCAAATGAATTATTTTTAATGGCTGAGTAATATTCCATGGTGTATATGTACCACAGCTTCCTCATCCATTCGTCTGCTGATGGGCATCTAGGTTGCTTCCATGTCCTGGCTATTATAAACAGTGCAAGCAGAGCTGTTTTGTTTTCAAGTTTCTCTTTCCTTATTTTCAATGACTTCACTTTTGCTTGTTTTTAATGAACCATGGTTTTTGGTGTTTTGAGCTGTCTGTGAAGACTCGTTAGTCTTTCTGGCAATCAATATATGTGTTAGAGTCCTGTCATCATCTTTAAAGGAGAATATCCTATTTCTCCTCTTTTCTTCAACTATGAGATGTTTCTTCTACCACCACAGACAATTGGAGAATTTCCTTGCATTCTTCCAGTGCAGATGAAATAGCACTTTTCCAAGGCTTCAAACAGTCCTGTGGACATTGAATTTACACATGCTGGATTTTGCCAATACCCAGCGACACTGAGAGGAGATAGAATGACAGCTAGACTGAAAGCCAGCAAGAATTCCTCCTCATAGCTTAATTTTTACTATTTTTTTCCCCTAACCTAACTTTGATCCTCAATATTATCCCATTTACTTTCTATATTCTGGAAATACGTATAAATCTCTCATCTCTTGATGATCCCTAATATTTTTACTCTTAAGGATTTTGGCTTATTCTCTTTGTATTTCTACTCTTTTAGTTAAGAGGAAATTTGGAAGAGATGAGAGGTAACTATGCAGGACTAGAAATCAGAAGTCCACAATTACAGACTACAGATTTACAAACTGACAGATTACTACATCGTTTACATGAAAGTTAGTCTTGACAGGAAGGAACACATGAATGAAAAACCCCAGGAGATGACTGGGCTCATTCTCCTGGGATCAAAGAAGATACACTTTCTAACTTTTGTCATAGGGCCTCATTAGTCATAGAGAAAACAGAGAATGTCTCCATTCCCAGGTTTTCAGAGATCATTCTTTTTTGTTGGCCTTGTGACATGCAGGATCCTCCCTGACCAAGGATCGGACCTGTGCCCCCTGCACTGGCAGTGTGGAGTCAAGCACTGGACCCCCAGGGAAGCCCCAGAGACTGGCCTTTTGGTGTGGTTGTATTTCCTCTGGCCACA